CTTCTTCTAGTTATGGTGGTGATATTCCCATTGATGCCCAATTCAACATCGAAGAAGGACAATTTCCTAATATTTTTCAAACGCAGGAATCACAAACTATAGAAAGAGTTGCTGATGAAACTGCAAATTTGACCCCTGGTGGACGTACTAGAGGTCGGGGATGTAATGGTGGTGGCACAAGTGGCCGTGGAGGAGAGGCAAGCGGTAGTGCTAGTGCAAGTGTTGCAAGTTATAAGAAGAAATGCAAGCGCACATCAGCAGTTTTGGAGCACTTCAACACATTCGAGAAGGTCGACAATAACAGTAACATTAAATACGTAGCTTAATGTAAATATTGTAGTGAGAAATTACAAGGTAACACTATTCACGGCACTACACACTTAAGAAGACACTCTGAAGAGTGTCTTCAAAAGCAAGGAGGCAGAGCTGATCTCCGCCAAATGTAATTATCGTTTGACTGCCAAACCGGCGGTCTAAGCACGTGGAAATACGATCCGCAAGTTGATCGTATGGAAACGGCACGATTAATAGCCACATTAGATCAACCACTAAGTTTTACTGAACAAAGAAATTAGCAACGTTATATTAAAATTGTACATAATCCTAATGCATAATTTTTTTCTAGAACTACTCTTAGGAAATAGGCATTAAAATTATATAAATAAGAAAATGAAGCATTAATCAACCTTCTACACTCTACTAGCGATTGCGTTGCATTAACGATGGATATTTGGTCCGCCGTTGCCAACAAGGATTATTTAGCTGTAACGAGACATTATTATAAAGATTTTGATTTGGAGAAGAGAATCTTAGGTTTCAAATGTGTTATAGGATCACATACTGCCAATTTAATATATAACACAAATTTATCTGTTATTGATGAATATAGTTTAAGAGATAGAATAATGGTCATAACATTAGATAATGCAACTGCAAATACTAAAGCAATATAACTTTTTAAAAATGATTTAAGTTTATTCGGTAATAATGATATTTTTCACCAACGTTGTGCATGTCATATAATTAATTTAATAGTAAAGTCCGGTTTCAAATCAATGTCAGGTCATATTAAAAGAATTAGAGATAACATTGCTTGGATTCAAGGTAGTAATCAAAGAATACAAGATTGGTTTAGATTTCTACAAACATGTAATCAAAATCCTAGAGCATTAGCCTTAGATATGCCCATAAGATGGAACTCCACTTACATAATGCTTGAACAATGCATCATCTATAAAGATGATATAACAAATTATGTTAGTGCAAAATTAGGAACATGATTTATAGATGAAATTGATTGGCAAATTGCCGAACTTTTGTATAACTTTATAGGCAGATTTCACGAAGTTACCTTAAAGCTTAGTGGAAGTTATTACCCAACTTCACCATTAGCGTTATGAGAACTTTTAAGAATGTCTATTTTATTTAGTGAATTTAGGACACACAAGGTTTTAGGAGTTCCTATCGCCTCTATGGAAAATAAGTTTAAAAAATATTGGTCTAAATTACCCATGTTGTATGGTTTCGATGTTATTTTTGACCCTAGATTAAAATTAGAAGGTTTAGAAAGTGGATTAGATAACTTAGGTGAATTTTTAGCTATCGACACTACTGACCAATTTCCTATTATAAAGGAAAAAAATATATTCTCTATATATCTCTTACGAAAGTAGGTTTAGAAACACACCTCGTGTTGAACAACCGCAACAACGAGATGACAATCCGCATTCATTCTTGAATGTTTTCGGGTTGTCTAAGAAGAAGAAGAATACGACGACGACGACTCAAGGTCAAGAAGAATCTGGGAGTGGATCTTCATTAAGAGGTGGCGGCGGATTCAACAAGTTAATGGTGTACCTGAGTGAGGACTTAGTTATAGACGGTAGTGAAATGTTTGATTTGGTTGAGTGGTGGAGGGCACGAGCATTAACTTGGTCAATCCTAACACGACTGGCAATGGATATTTTTTCGATCCCGGTCTCCACTGTTGCAGCCGAACAAGCATTCAGTACAACCGGGCGAATACTTGAAGAACGGAGAAACACATTGCAGCAGGATATTGTTGAAGTTTTGGTGTGCATCAAGGATTGGGACCGTTCCGACCAACGCTTACACGATACAATCTCACCGGCAAACCAAGAATGGAAGAAAGAATTTAATAGATTAACTTTTAATTTTCAAGACGATCCTTCTTATTCAAATTAAATTTTATTATTCGAATTTGTAAATATTTATTTACTTTGTAATTCTAATTTGTATAGTGTTATTGTAATATTGTATAGACTTTGTAAGTTCGTCAAATTTGTAATTCGTCCCACAATAATTGCACTCTTTTTTTCTTACCAAGTTTTTATCCCAAATGAGTGTTTCTTGGTAAGGTTTTTAACAAGGCAATCATGAATTACAAATTTAAAAATCAATGAAGAAGTAATTTTTTTTATATAGTTCGTGTGTTCATTTCAAATTTCAAATTGTAATATACACATTGTAATTATACAAATACTTATACAACATAAAAATATAATATAAAAAAAATTTGAAATTCGGGCATCGGGTAGCTCGACCAGCACGGGCAGGCACCTCCTGCCCGAAGCCCGTCCATGGACAATTTTCGGGTCGGGTCGGGCAGCCCAAATTTTTGGGCGTTCGGGTTCGGTACTCGGGTAAAAAATTAGACTTTTCGGTGGTCACAGGCGGCCCGTCCAAAGTTTCAGCACTAATTATAGATATATATATATATATATATGTTCAGATTTGCTCAACTCATTGTATACGTCTCCTCTTTTCTATTATGCAAGTTGATTGACTTTGCTTCTTTACTATTGTCTCTTGTATTCTCTGCTTCGTATAACATAGGTCTCTTTTGTTTGTTTGAGTTTTTAATTTGAATTATGATGTGATCTTTTTTAAGAGTCTGTTTAGTTTGTTAATTTAAATTTTTAATTTAAGTTAAGATGTGACTTTATATGAGAATTTTTTACTGTAATAAAAAAATTAAATGTGATTATTTCTGATAATTTTTTACTGTAATAAAACTCAAATCGATAAAATGAACGAGACTTAAGAAAAACTGTATTTTACTTAAAACAGATATTTGACTTTTGGAGGTAAAACAAAAAGGGATAGGTGAACATTTTTCTCTCCTCTTGCTTACCCAAAACAGCGCCATGCCAAGCATTTCTTTGTCTGGTGCGCGCATCTCTTCTCAAAAAGGAAAAGTGACCCAATTAATTTATTTTTAATTATGTGTAATGCGTTGTTAATTTTTAAAATAGACGTGCACAAATTTAATCGTTAAAATATTAATCTAATGATTAAAAATGGAGTCTCACTGATAGTTTTTTTTTTAAAAAAAGGTTTTACTGTAAAGAATACCAAATACGGGTCTAGAAGAGTTAAAAAATCAACTCTTAAGACAATCGATTTTTTCCCTCAGAGAAAAGAAAAACCAAGAGAGTTTCTTTGCTTTAATTCTTGCTTTCTCATGTGTTGAGATCATAGTTGTCATGGGGGAAAATATGGAGGACACGTGGAAGGAGGACAACATGACACGTGGCCTTAACCTCTCCTCGCAAAGCAACAACCCTCGACGTCTGGGACCCCTTTTCCTCCCGTCGTTTAGAGCCCGAGTAAGAAGCCCAACTTAGGGCGTCGATTTCTTCTGACGTCGACAGATCGTACCGTCGACCTTACAACATAGAAGTCCACCACCAAGGAGAACAATTGGGCTAAACACCACTGGCGACGGGGGGAATGCCCCTTGAGGGAAAGCCTGACGTGGCAAGCTGCGTAAGGGATGTCCACAGTACAGGCATTAAATGTAAACCCTTAAACCGCCCCTACAGGGGACAGAAAAGGGTTACAGCTGCGCACAGAGCTGTAATGGGAGACTAATTGGCTGAGTGAACAGTGCACAAAAAGTGATTAGTGGGCTACTGGCTGGGCCTAGAAAGGGAGACCACTTGAGTGCTCGTTCAGCCTACAGGAGAAAACCCCTCCAACGAAAGAAGCTCGGCTATAAAAGGAGAGAAACCTCATACGGAAAGAGGGGTGTGTGGATCTTTTCTAAGAAAGCAAGAACGAAATAGCATATTGAAAATTGTAACATTCTCAAGAAGGAATAACAAACCATAGTGGATGTAGCTCTTCATTTTATAAGAGTGAACCACTATAAATCTTGTGTGTTTTCTTACTTTAATTATTTTTTCTTATATTGCTTACTACACAAAAAATACCACAAGCACATCAAATTTCTACACATAACCTATACTTAAGCTAGTAATCCGACAGGAAACCCAGAGGTAAACCGGCCTGTTTTTTGTTGGTGAAAATCCACCGTCAACAATTGGCGACTCCACTGGGGACCGAACGCATTTGACGCCCAACAACAACATAGTCAGCAAGCATGCCTCCAAAAAGAAGAATTGAGGCCAACAACCAAGGCAGCCAGATGGACGAGACCGCCACTCAGCCGGTGAATGACGGGGTGGAGGAGGTTCCACCCTCGGTCAGAAATGAGGTCCCGCCCCCAGACGTGCCACGGCTGGATCCTGTACAGATGCAGGCCCAACTAGCCACTTTAACCGATCTGGTACGTGGACTAATGGTCGTGGTCAAACGCTTGGATGGAAGAAACTCTATGCCACCTTTAAAAGACGCCCCGAGGCCGCTGGGACCTGCCATGGCTGAAAACCCCAACCCTGGTGACCGCCCGCATGTCTTAGAAGAGATCGGGGATAGCGATAATCAAAGGGGGCAGCCTAGGCCCTGACCTTCCCAATCCTCTGGCGGCCGTTTAAGGGCCTCCGGGCTCCAGGCTCCCGATACTAAGAGGCCAGGGAAACCCCGAGGTGTTACCCCAAAACCCAAGAAGAAACCCACCGGGAGACTCAAGGTCAGTACAGACGGGTAGGCAGGCAAGAGGCGGACCCAACGGTCAAAGGGCAGAGGCGTCGAGAGTAGCTGGCTCAGCCATCTCAACAGAGGAGGCGCGCGCCATCATGGAGCGCATGGCCAGCCTGGAGCAGAAGCTCACAGGGGACGTAGCAGGCCTGAAAAAGAACATAAGGCGAGTGGCTGAGGTGGTAAACGTCGACATCACACCTAGCCACACACACGACCACCCATTTACCGAAGAGATAATGGCGCCACCTCTCCCCGACAAATACAGGTCACCGTCGATCCCACCATATGATGGTCGAGGGGACCCCGACGATTATCTAGAAATGTACACGGGGCACATGCTCTTACACGGGTATGCCGAGGAAATTATGTACCGAGCCTTCCGGAACCATTTGACGGACTCCGCCCGAAGATGGTTTCGGACGCTGAGGCCAAACTCCATCTCAAGTTGGGATGAGCTGAAGGAAGCATATTTCCTCCAATTCATAGGGGTTAAAAAATATGTCCCCCCGCAGCAGAACCTGACAACGATATACCAAAAGCCGAACGAGCCATTAAGAGAATGGCGGTATGGAGAAGCTGTCACCGCCACAATGGACATAACTGACAAAGAGGCCCTGATGGGGGCATTATCTAGTATGAAGAAAATTACCCCCTTCAAAAGAGAGTTGAACTGAAAGCCCTTGTCCAGCTACAAGGAATTTCTTGCGCGAGCGCAAGGATACATCAACACCGAGGAGGCAGACGCAAACGACCCCGAGCACAGGTCCAACAAGAACAAAGGGACCGAACAAGGGTCGACGCCAACAAAGCAGGATGGGAAGAAGCGTCGAGGTGGAGGAAGCAGAGACAAGCAGCCAGCTGCGACGTCGAGTGCTCCGAAAGCCAAGAAGCCAAAACAAGAGGAGAACCGTAAGCCTCAGCTATTTCAAAGGTACGATTCCTACCACGAACTAACAGTAGGAGTCGAGGAGGTCTTCAATCAGGTCGGCCGTGGAAATCTGCTGCGCCGCCCAGAGCCGATGAGGACAGATCCCAGCTGAAGGAACCAGAAGAAATTCTGCAGGTTCCACGGCGATGTCGGCCACCACACCAACGATTGCACCGACCTTAAGGATGAAATCAAGAGAGTAATCCGTGAGGGAAGGCTACAGGAGTTCAAAGCTGAACGGAGACCTCGAAACGATGGCCACGGTGGGCAGAATGACGGTCGACGCCGAGAGGAGAACCAACGTCCCGAAGACCGAGAACCTGTCAGCGTCATACGAACTGTCCTCGGTGGCCCCTATATAGGAGGAGACTCGAGGAGATCCCATAAGGATGACGCCCACGAGGCTAGAGGGGTTTACCAAGAAAGATTCTGGAGTGTCTCCGCTGTAAAAACCCCACGATATAGCAGTGACGACGTGGCGTTTAATGACAATGACGCCAGCAGAGTTCACTTCCCCCATAACGACGCATTAGTAGTGGAAGCCATGATTAGGAACCACATTGTATGCCGAATCCTGGAAGACAATGGGAGCTCGGTGGACCTCCTTTACTCCGACTACTTGGAAAAGATAAGGATTCGAAAGGACCAGTTGGAGAAGACCTCAAGGCCATTGTACGGTTTCACCGGAAACTCCATCATCCCTCAGGGGACTATTCGATTGCCCATGACCGCCGGAGAAAAACCCCGATAGGCCACGATAATGGCCAACTTTGTGGTAATAAATGGGGGCTCTCAGTACAATGTTGTAATCGGGAGACCGACCCTTCAGGCGCTAAGGGCAATAACCTCCATCTACCACCAGAAGGTCAAGTTCCCTACCCCAAACGGCGTAGGAGAGATGAAGAGCAACCAGTACGAAACTAGGATTGCATACTCTGATGCCCTCCGTGGATACGACCAGCCAAGGTGACAGGAGGCCAGGATGGTCTATCAAAGCACTGTTGAAGACATAGATCTCAGGGTTCAAGAGGAGGTCACCTGGTCCCAACCCATCGAGCAATTGGTGGAAATCAGGGTTGATGAAGGCGAGCCAACCAAAAGTACTAAAAATGGGCTCAGGCTTAGCCCCCTCACTCAAGATTGAGGTTGAAGACTTCCTCAAAAAGAACTTAGACATCTTCGCCTGGAACCATGCCGACATGGAAGGGATCGACGCCGAGGTTATGTGTCAATCCCTGAATGTTGACCCCTCATATCCTCCCAAGCGCCAGAAGCGTCAACCGATGAACCCAGAGAGGTATGAGGCGCTGAAAATGGAGGTCGACAAGTTGATCAACAATGGGTTCATCAGGGAAGCCCATTACCAGCGTTGGGTCTCAAACCCCGTTTTGGTGGTCAAGCCTAACGGGAGCTGGAGGACATGTGTCAACTTCAGCGATCTCAACAAAGCCTGCCCAAAGGACGGCTTTTCACTCCCTCGAATAGACTAGATGGTCAACGCCACAGCAGGGCATGAAATACTGAGTTTCATGGATGCCTACTCCGGGTACAACCAGATCCCCATGCATCCAACCGACGAGGAGCATACATCCTTCATAACCGACAGGGGCCTATACTGCTACAAGGTAATGCCTTTTGGCTTAAAGAATGTGGGGGCTACCTACTAAAGACTCGTGAATAAAATGTTCGCTCAACAGCTCGGCAAATCAATGGAAGTCTACGTCGACGACATGCTTGTGAAAAGTGCTAGGGCCAACCAACACATCGACCACCTGGGTGAAATGTTTGGTGTGTTAAGAAAATACCACATGAAGCTAAATCCCCAAAAATGCGCCTTTGGAGTTGGGTCAAGGAAGTTCCTTGGTTTCATGGTCAGTAACCGGGGGATAGAAGCTAACCCTAAAAAGATTAAAGCATTACAAGATATGCAGTCCCCGACTAAACCAAAAGAGGTACAGAGGTTGACAGGATACGTCGCTGCCTTAAACAAATTTATATGAAAGGCAACAAACAAATGCGTCCCATTCTTTGATGCTTTGAAAGGAAGTAGGCGTTTTGAGTGGACACCACAATGTGAAGAGGCCTTCCAGAAATTGAAGGAGCATTTGGGCAAGCCCCCAGTCCTGTCAAAACCCCACCCCAACGAGGAGCTCAGCCTTTACCTCTCCGTGTCCCAGCACGCCATAAGCTCCATGTTAATAAGGGAAGAAGAAAGGGTACAGTTACCAATTTACTATGTAAACAAAAGACTCCTCGACGCCGAGTCAAGATATACCGAGATGGAACGCTTGGCCCTAGCCCTGATGGTAGCTTCAAGAAAGCTTCGACACTATTTTCAATCTCACACAATACGGGTTCTCACAAACCATCCGTTGAGACAAGCGCTACAAAAGCCCGAAACTTCTGGTCGACTTCTCAAATGGTCGGTAGAGTTAAGTCAGTTGACATTAAGTACGTACCAATAACGGCGATCAAGGGCCAAGCGCTGGCTGAGTTCTCCCATAGACTGGCTCCCGCCGAGCCAGAAGAAATCGAGAGTACAGAATGGAAGCTCTACGTGGATGGAGCGTCGAGTGACAACGGGTCAGGAGCCGACGTCTTATTGATCAGCCCAGAAGGCCACAAGATCACCTCGGCGGTTCGATTTAAATTCAAAGCGTCAAACAATGAGGCAGAATACGAGGCGCTAATTGCAGGGTTGCGATTGGCCAGTCACCTAAAAATTGAGAGGCTCAGCATCTTTAACGACTCTCAACTGGTCGTGGGTCAAGTGAAAGAACAATTCCAAGCACGCGGCAAGAAAATGGGTGCGTACTTGAGGAAAGTAAAGGAATAACTCGTTAAGTTTAAAAACTACGAGATACTTCAAATACCACAAGCTGAAAACGCAAACGCCGATGCTCTATCAAAGCTTGCATCCTCAAAAATTCTGGATTGCAGCAGAGACATGAATTCCAGCGCTTGGCCCTAGAGCGTCGGCGTTTGCGTTTTCAGCTCACAGATATGTCACCTTGCAGCAGAGACATGAATTCCAGCGCTTTTTCCTCCCTATAGCTCTGAGGGAAGTACTGCTCATTGAACAGGGTCTCAAACTGCTCCAGGTCAGTCCTGTAACATCTACTCTTCTCTTGACCTGTTTCCACCAGGTATTTGCTAAACCCACCATCTTGTATACAGCAAATTCCACCCAGTATTCATATGGAACTCCCATAGTACTCAAATGCTTGACTATGGAGTCTAACCAGAACTCTGCCTCCTAGGGTCCTCCCTCACTATTAAACGAGGGGATAGACGCACGCCTAAATTCTCGGAAGTACCCTTGCTTCCTATCCTCAACCGGCCGCTCGTTTTGAGCTCTTGTGGCCATGCCTTGAAAGGGAGCATACATGGTATCCAGAAATCCTTGATTCTGTTGTGCCGGTTGATTAGCGGGCCTATGGTAAGGCACCATTTCCTTTAACTGAAATAACACTAGACTATTCAGTGGATTACAGATGTCACACATGTATGTACAATCCTGGGGTTTCTCAACCTAGGGCTCTGATACCACTCTTGTCACGCCCCCCAAGCGGGGTGGGTGATGTGGAGCTCGATTAGGGTTTAGTAAAGCAGATTCCCAGACGAGCCCCACTCAACTGCATTAAAATATAATTACATTACTACATAATCCCAGAACCTCTGACACATAGGGCCCACAGGACATACAGTATCGTACATACATGCTCATGTAAATAATCATTACAACAGACATCAACCACAGTCTAGTAAATCCAAATATTACATAAGTTTACAGAATTTCTCAAATTCCTTACATTTGTCCAAGAGGATGTCCACGATCCTCACTTGATTCCAATAGCAGCACAACTCAGCTGCTCCGTAGCAATTATCCAGCTACAGTGCCCCGCTCCTAGAGTCTCCTGGGAGGGTTTAATACATTTGAAATATAAAACGTGAGCGAAAGGCCCCGTAGGATATAATTTGAAATAAACGTTATAAATAAATGAATAATAAGTAAGCGAGGAAACAAATAAATGAATAAGTAAATAAAATACGACATTCAGTTCCAACAGACAGTCGGAACCTCACATCCTTTTTCTCAAAGGAAATATAACCGAAAATAACCGTTTTTACAGGCTTCAGCAAGTAATTAGTACAAATTACTTACCAAACCAAGTGCCTCGCCTATCCGGACTGAGTTTTGGGTTCTGCCCCCGAGGATACACTCTCCGCATCCTATCTAGGACTACAGCAATAGACTCTTTTACCAGTTCACAAGATCTCTTTGCTTAAGAAATCATTCATTAACATTCTGAAATCGTTAATACGACCCCACGAACTACTCAAGCCGCGGGCCCCATGACTAGACAAGCCATGAGGTTCCATGACTAAACAAGCCATGGTTTTCAAAATGTTTTCTTTCACAAACCAATCCCTTTCTTTAAAATATTTTCAAGGCCAAAATCCTTTTTGAAAACAGTCTCACAAGGAAAAGGGATATAAATCCTACCTCGCACTATCAAACTTGGGACTAGCGTTGCCTTTTCCGGCTTCCGCTTCCTCAAGCCCCTTCAGTCTGAATCCTCAGCGATCATTGATGCAAGACAACACTTCAGGATCAATTCTCATTCCTAAAGCAATCCAAATCTCATTTATGTACCATGATTTTCAATTAGTGTGCCCTAATCCATTTTCATGTTTCAAAATATCATTCCAAGGGTTTTCAATCTCAAATCAAGGATTAACAATGCTAATCCATTTATCTCAAGTCCCCAAATGAAGCTAATTTGGGTTCTCCCCGAAAACATAGGTCAAAACAGCAATTTCATGCCAATCAGGGTCAAACCCCGCGTCAACCGGTCGACTGGTGACAGAGTAGTGCAACACTACCGGTCGACTGGTAGTGTGCACACCGGTCGACCGGACCGGTCAATCGGTCGACCGGACCGGTCAACCGGTCGACCGGACCGGTCAACCGGTCAGCCTGTAATCCGGTCGACCGCATAGGTCGACCGGTTTCCATGTGATCCGGTCGACCGCACAGGTCGACCGGTGGAATCAGCTGCGCGAGAGAAGCTCGCGAAAATCAGTCTAAAAACCTGTAAATCCAATCCCAAATCGAAATATTTTAAAGGGAAACCACTACATCTGGGTTCTAGGTCCTAAAACAAGTCCAAAGAACCCAAGATCTCCAATTTCTACCATAGTTTTACTCAAAAACCATCAAAATCCGGTTTGAACCAAAAATAAGTTTTGAAATTCAAAAACTTGAGATTCATGAGAGGTTCTTTCAGTAATCTTACCTCGAATCCTTTTCTTGACGTTGAAAACCTCTTTAAATCTTTTCTTGGTTCAAGATCCGTTTGATTTGGGACAAAAATGAGAGAGAGAGAGATGCATGGGAGAGTGAGAGAGAGAGAGAGTGAGAGGGAGAGATGCACGGGAAGGAAAAAGGAAAGAAAGAAAAGAAAAGAAAAGGAAAAGAAAAGAAAAGGAAAAGAAAAAGAAAAAGACAGGTGTACAATATTTTAAAAGAGCAGTCCAGAATGCGCCCATACACACTTCTGGGTTTAAATAAATTGCTGAGAATAATTTAAATACCTTGGAACTATTTAAACTCACACGTATCAAAAATATTTATTAATTTATACTCAATTAATAATCCAGATTAGGCACACTAATAATCTCAATTACCTTAATTAATCTCAATTAATTCTTCAGGGTGTTACAGTACGCCACAATTCCTAGAGCACCCCCAGAAAATTTAACCTCCATTCTCAGTCCATGGCCCTTCGCCAAGTGGGGGGTTGACCTAATCGGGCCATTGCACCTTGCACCTGGGGGGTTTAAATTTGCCATCGTCGCGGTAGATTACTACACAAAGTGGGCAGAGGCAAAGGCTCTGACTACAACTACGAAAGCAGCCTGCACCAACTTCATGTGGAACGACATTGTGTGCAGGTTCGGGGTCCCCCACTCGATTGTGTCCGACAATGGGAAACAATTCGATAATGCCTCAACACGAAGATTCTGCGACAGCGTGGGCATTCGAAAGGATTTCTCGGCGCCGATACACCCGCAATCTAACGGGCAAGTCGAAGCAGTCAATAAAATATTAAAGTATACCCTGAAGAAGAAGCTCGACAATCTAAAGGGAAAATGGGCCGAGGAACTCCCCAAGGTCTTGTGGGCATACAGAACGACGAGCCGAAGCACCACGGGCGAAACACCCTTCTCCATGGCATATGGCGTCGAGGCGGTACTGCCCATAGAAATTAAGACGCCGACTCTAAGAACTGTGGTCTACAACGGTGACGGTAATACGTAAGGCATGAATGGAGAACTCGACCTATTAGAAGGAAAAAGGCTCGACTCCCAGTTACGCCTCGCCGCCTACCAGCAGAGGGTAGCCCGATATTACAACAAAAAAGTCAAAAAATGAAGGTTCGCCCCAGGAGACCTAGTATTAAAAAAGGTAACACAGAGTACAAAACTCAAAAATCCTGGTCCTCTGGGCCCAACTTGGGAAGGACCCTACCGAATAAAAGAAGTATTGCGGCCAGGCACCTACATCTTGGAAAGCCTCTCCGGCAAAAAGGTTCAGCATCCATGGAATGCAGAACAGTTAAAGCTGTACTACCAATAATGTATGTAGTTTTTTAAACGCATCTTAGTTACATTTTTGGTAATTTAAATAAATTATGAATTTATAGTAATATTGTCCAAAAGTAAGAAGAATTCACCCCTCGAATAAACTTGTCTGCTTAAAAAACCAAGGTATATTAAACAGACAAGGGGGGCAATAAGGGATCTACGGATCACCGCAAAAAAAAAAACATAGAAAATTTTACGAAATTTTCTAAGGTGACGACCCCAAGGGGCAAAAGCTAACGCCGACTCTTCCAAGGAAGAAATGCGAGGAAACACTTAGAAAATTTTACAAAATTTTTTAGGGGGCAAAAGCTAACGCCGACTCTTCCAAGGAAGAAAGGCGAGGAAACACTTAGAAAATTTTACGAAATTTTCTAAGGTGACAACCCCAAGGGGCAAAAGCTAACGCCGACTCTTCCAAGGAAGAAAGGTGAGGAAACACTTAGAAAATTTTACGAAATTTTCTAAGGTGACGACTGATTAGTGCATGAAAATGCACCATAAATACTACTTTTGATTTATATAATATTAAAATATTTAAGCTTTAATTAAACAATTCCACTATTTTTATTCATAATATTTTTAATTAGAATTTGTCTAGTTTTTGCTTAATTATTTACAGTGTAAAAAGCTACACAAAAATAAGCCATGAAAGCCATGTTTTCAACCATCCGGAGCCAAGCCTCAGCCGAGCCGCACCAAGCCACTATCTCTCTCCGCGTGGGCCCCAGCTCTCTGCCTTTCCCCACTCTTTCTTGCGCGCGTCACCAGCACGCCGATCTCTCAGTGCGCGCGTGTCTTCCACGCAGCCATCAGCGCGCGTTAAAGCATTCCTCCGCGTGGCCCCGCAACTCAGTGCGCCAGCCTGCTCCTTTCCTCTGCGCGCGACATCTGTCCCATGATGTCTCCACTCTGACCGCGCCAGCAGACTTCCTCCACTCTGCGCGTGACACGTGGCACTTTATTCCTTTGATCCAATCAAGCTTCGACACGTGTCCCTCCGGCGCTGAATCTGAATTTCTTCCCCAAAAATTAGAGCAAATTACCAGATTTCTTCCCCAAATCAAATATGTGATTTCTCCTAATTTATGTGTAATTTTATTTTGTTTCATTTTCTTTTGTAATTTTCTAGTTTTACAATTTATTTCCTTATTTGACAGGCAACCTCTGAACACTATAAATAGAGAGGTTGGCCTAAGGTTTTAGGAAGATTTTGATATTCAGCTTTCTGTCGTCTTGCTGTCAGTCTCATATTTTCTCTCTAGAACTTGTGAGAATGTTTTGCAAGATAGGCTAGAGTTTTCTTGGTGAGGTTAGAGATAAACTTCTGTTGAGTGACCCAATTCGGGGTTTTGATTCCTTGTGCTGTAAAGTTCAACATCCGAATGAATTAAATCTCATCTATTTTTCTATTACTTTTCAAAATATTGTGTGCCAATTTTTATATAAGTTCAGTCACGCTTTTCTTATGTAATTCTGTCATGCAATGTTTTGTTATTCAAATTATTTTACAAATTGTCTTTTACTGCAATATTGTCAGATTGATATATTGTCGATTTTAGATAACTTGTAATAATAATATTTCTGGAGTCAACAAACAGATTTAATTTATTCGGTTATTTAATATTGTGAATCAAAACTTGGATTGGTGAACGAAACATTAGGGATTCTCGACACCTTACCATTTTTATTATCGAATTTTCTTCATACAAATTCCCTCATTTCTATTTTATTTGCAACAAAATCTCAAAAACTATTCTTTTTCTTTAATTCACTTTTCTCTAACGCTCTTATTCTATTAGTCATTCTTGTTATTTTGTTATCTCTCTGTGGATACGACCGCATTTCTGTGCTACAATTGACCGCTTGTGAATATCATTTTTAGGCGTTCATCAAATTTTGGCGCCGTTGCCAGGAAGGTGCTACTAGCAAGACTGATCAGTAGATTTTGAAGCCAAAGAGGTAAGTGCATTTTTTTTATTTTTACTCAATTTCTCTTTCTTAATTTACGTGATCTGTTTTTAGCCCCCATTAAAAAAAAACCTTGTGTTTGCTGTTTTGTTCTTCTGTGTTACGTTAGTTATACATTTATTATTATTGTTGTTTTCTTTTCTTCTTCTCTTTCTCGTTTCTTATTTCAAAAAAAAAAAAAAAAGAAGGGAAAAATTTTTTTTTTTTTTCAACAAGACGACTACGAAGGAAAAAAAAAAAACGAAACAGGGAAGGAAAACTAAAAAGGTAATTTTTTTTTTTTTTTTTCGATTAAGGGGCGGCAAGAAAAAAAAAAATATATATATATATATATACCTTTTTTTTTCACTTGCCGTCCCTTAATCGAAAAAAAAAAAAAAAGAATTACCTTTTTAGTTTTACTTACCTGTTTCGTTTTTTTTTTTTCCTTCGTAGTCGTCTTGTTGAAAAAAAAAAAATGTTTCCCTTATCATTTTTTTTATTTCTGTAATTTTGGTTGCAAAAAAAAAAAAAAAGAATCTCATACTCTTAGGATTTATCTTTTATTGTTAATTTTATTTTCCCTTTTAGTTTTAAAATTAATTGTGATTTGATTTTTGTAATATTTTATTTTTGATAGATTAGGATTTTATTTTGTTTCCATGTTTGAGTAATTTAATTGTTAACTATTATATTGTTGCCTAATTTAATTTTTTCTTTTATAATTTTCATTAATTCTTAGAATTATAATTTAGATTGTAATTAATTGACTAATTTAGATTCCTAATCTAGGAATTTCATAATTTGGTAGATTTAGGCTTTTGACTTTAGGAATAGTTTCCATTAATTAGATTATATTTCATAATTTACTCAATAAAATTTAATAATTGATTTTGAGAATAATTGTGTGGTTACGTGGAAAGTATAATCTGAGGGAGTTCTGTCTAGGAAAGTTGGTACTTAAGTGGGCCTCGCCCCACCAATCTTTTCTGAAAACGTTGCTCTGTCTAGGAGGCTATTCATTAAGCCAAGAGCTATAGTCTTTCCTGGGAGCACTCTCGGTAGTTACAATTTACGTTACTATATAATTATTTTTTTTTGGATTAAAAATAAAAACAAAAACAAAAAAAAATTAAAAATAAAAAAATAAAAAAGGGCCGCTTAGGGTGAATGCATCGGTATAGAGACGAACTAGGGAGATTTACTCAACGTCCAGATTTAGAAACCCTTAGTGAAATTCTATCCGACTCGTCTTCTACGTCTCCATCTTCGCACTTGTCATTGAAAATCGCATTTGATAATCTATTTGCGATGGCACAACACGAGAAAGTTCAGCAGAGGACGTTGCAAGATTATCTGCACCCAACGCAAACAGCCACCCCATCTTGCATCATGTTCCCGCCAAATGCACCGCCTACGGATTTCAAGCCGGACATGATTGCACTTCTCCCAACCTTTCACGGATTAGAGAACGAGAATCCATATGTACACATTCGGGAGTTTGAAGAGGTGGTGGCCACCTTTCACAACCGTGTTGAGGCCACAAATACCGTCAGATTAAAGTTTTTCCCTTTCTCTCTGAAGGACAAGGCCAAAAGCTGGATGTATTCTCTTAGGCCTAAGTCTATTGGAACATGGGAAGAAATGACGACGACATTCTTCAACAAGTATTTCCCACACCATAAGACTAATAATTTGAAACGAAAGATCTCAAATTTCGCTCAGAAGGAAAACAAAACTCTCTATCAAGCTTGGGAGCGTTTTAAGGATCTGTTAAATCTGTGTCCCCACCATGGATATGAAAGTTGG